GACGTTTTGTTGGACTGGATCAGCATTGTTCATTCATGACCATAAGCACATGTGGGACCATAAACCAAACCCAAACCCACCGCGATCGAGTTGATGCTGCCTCATAGCAACCTTACAGGTCAGGGTTGAGCCACTCCTGGGAGTTTCTGAGACTGTGGCTCTTTACAGGGGTAAAAGCCCATCTTTCTCCCAATCGAGGACCAAAGCTTGCGCTGTAATAAAAAAATTGTCATGCATGATATCAACTGGTTTCTCTACTGAAAATGCTTACCTGTTTCCTTTCTCTGTTCATCTGAGGGGTCATTTGCCAGAGAATCTCAGAAAAAAATAATGCAACTGTGTTTATTAGTCATCTGTCACTGTGCAGCGAATTACCCCTGAACTTGGGGTTTACCAAACAGTGTCCTCTCTGAGTCAGGGATTTGAGAATAGCTGATCTGGGACATTCTATAGGTAGGGGCTCTCAGAAGATGGGGATCAACACATCCCTTGGAGTTGTGGTCATTTGAGGACTTAGCTGAGGCCAGGGGAGCTTCTTCCAAGGTGGCTCGTTCTTGACCGTTTAGTTGGTGCTAGCTGTTGGCAGGAAACCTCAGTTGGTCTCGTGTGGACCTCTTCACCGAGCTTCCCCGGGAGGTCCTCATGCCATGCCATGGCTTTTCTCCGGTATGAGGGATCGGATCGATGGAGGCAAAGCCTGCAGTGCACTGTACGGACCAGCCTCAAAGGCATCCAGCATCACTCAGACTGTGCCATCCTGTGGTTATTGTCCTTGGGTGACATCAAGTCAGTTCCAACTCATAGTGGCCCTGTGTGCAATGGCGCCCAACGTTGTCTGTTCCTACGTCATCTTCACACTGGTTATGTTCGGGCCCATGGTGCAACCACTCATTTTATTGCACTTCAAAGATATTTTTCCTACACATTGAAGATCTGTGGTAACCTGGCCTGCCTGGAGACTTCCAGGTTCATTGTGGGAGGGGCCTTTACAAGGGTGTGCTAGAAAGAGCCAGGGACCCTTGAGGGTTACCTTGGAGACTGGTTTCCATGG